CAGGATTGTGCGGGTGCAACAGTTACGTTAGTAATTCGCGGTGCTGAGGTCCCAGGAATGACGTTCTGGCACGATGCAGGATCGTCCAGACGCAACAATTACGTTGATCTGAGGCGTTGAAATCCCGAGAACAATGCTCTGTCATGCTTCAATGCCTTCAACCGGTTGTCTTCCAACGAGGCAATTCCCTCAATGGAAGAACCGCTGTAGGGGCCTATGAAGAGGGAGCTTGGAGGGAGGGTTTACTCTAACATCGTTGATGACTCTTGGTTCTGTACTGGTCCTGCTCCTTATCCCCTCGCCCCTTTTCCTCGTCCCTCCTCCTTCCTCCCTTTGAAAAGTGGAAGAGACTATCGCCCTTCCTCTCCCGACCTTTTCTTCCTTCTTCCTCCTTCCTGTACTACTCCTCTCCCCTGCTTGCTTCTCCTCAAGAGCAATGATCGAAAACTCCCTCGCTCTCTGCCGCACCTGCCCGCGCCCTTCTCGCTCCCGCCTCTGCGCCCGATCTGATCGTAGAGCCCCGACGACGACCACAACGACGACGACAACGCCGACGACGGCACCGCAACCCCAAGACGACGACGACGCCAAGAGACGACGACCGCGACGACGACGGCACCGCAACGCCAAGATGACGACAACGGCGACAATCACGACGGCGACAAAAGCGGTGGCTCCAGGGCCCTGCACGATCAGAGAGGCCTGAAACGGGAATCATTTTCATAATATTCGTGCGAGCAAGTACAATCAACACGAACAGATTTGTATGGCCCTGGCAGCACGAACCGATCTATATGGTCAGGACCCCTCGAGTGGGTCCAACAAATAACCTCACAACTCGAACGGCTTCGACGACGACGACGAAGACGATGGCGACGGCGACGACGGCGACTATGACGACAACCACGACGGCGACTACGACGACGACCACGACGACGACGGCGACGACAACGACGACGACGACAACAGCGAAGTCGGCGACCACGACGATAACCACAATGACGACGACAACGACGGCCGCGACAACGACGACGGCGACCATGACGGCGACCACGGCGACGACGACGACCATCACCGCGACAGCAACAGCACGACGGCAGACCCCCAGGCTCGGAGGCGACGGAAGGGGCGAGTAGCCCAGGGGCGGGCATTACACGCTTTCCTGGGAACCTTGCCGAAGGCGTGGACCATCGGCGCCCCTGTATACCTGTATTTCTAGACGCCCGAAATGGGCACGGAAAAAGTGGGTATGATGCCCGACAACATGTGTTGCCCAATACCTACAGCGGCCGCCGCTGAGCAGGCGGCCTCCTGCCTCGAATGGACAACGTCCGCGGCGACACCGACAGCGAGTCCTGCTCGAGATGGGCAAGAAAGTGCTGTCGGTCTTCGTACCCACTCTTTCCGTCCCCATTCCGATCGTGCTGATCCCAGAAGCCTCCCAGCTGGGGTCGCAGCAACTGGGGTCGGAGGATCGCGCCGCACCGTCGATGCATCACCGATGCCCTGGCGACTCGTCCAGCGATGCGCCGGCGACGCTTCGGCGACGGACGTGGAGAAAACCGGGCTGCTCTTCGCCTGGGCTTTGAGCAGGACATCGACTACAACATTACCTTGCCCCAAACATTTTTTGGCTCCGCCGAACCTGCTGAAAAAATGCATGGACACCCCGGTCGATCTGAGGAGCATTCGACTCATGCTTCGTAGACTCGACGGAGGAACCCATTGTGGGGTCCACCAGTTCTGCAGTCGATCCCCTACTCGAGCGCTCCTCGGCCCCCTCGCCTTATGTCGGGCGTGTCCCCCTACAGGGGCATCCTCGACGAAAAATGAAACATGCCCCAAAAATGCCCCAAAAAGGCCAGAAAATACCCAAAAAACAACTTTCCCAGACTTTTTTTGGACTACTTTTTGACTTGTTTTGGGGGTATCATGTATTTTTCGTTGGAAATCATGCCCCAAAAATGCCCCAAAAAGGTCAGAAAATACTGAAAGAGTAATCCCCGGACTATTTTTGGGGAATTTTTTATGTTTCGTCGGAAATCCCCCCTGTAGGGGGACAGGCCCGCCTTGACCCTCGCCACCCCGACAGGCCCAGGCGCCTCCGGCAGCGGCCCGGCGGCCGCCGCCGCGGCGGCGCCCGTGCCCTCCGCCGCGGGGCCGCGGGGCTCCGGGGGGCCTGCGCGGGGCGGCGGGGGCGCTGCGCGGGGAGGGCCGCGGCCGGGACGAGCGCCGAGAGGCGGACGGGGGCTCGGGCCGGAGGCCTCCGAGATTTCGAGCAGGGAGGAGGGAGGAGGGAGGAGGGAGGAGGGAGGAGGAGGAGGGAGGGAGAGGGAGGAGGGAGGAGGAAGGAGGAGGGAAGGAGGGAGGAGGAGGAGGAGGAGGAGGGAGGAGTAGGGAGGAGGAGGAGGAGGAGAGGAGGGGAGGAGTAGAGGAGAGGAGAGGGAGGAGGAGGAGGAGGAGGGAGGAGGAGGGAGGAGTAGGAGGGAGGGGTGAGGAGGAGGAGGGAGGAGGGAGGAGGGAGGAGGGAGGAGGGAGGAAGGGGGAGGAGGAGGAGGAGGAGAGCAAGAGGCTTCACATATGGATCAACTGCCTTGAGTTCAGTCGAGTCGAGTCGAGTCGAGGAGGAGGAGAAGGAGAAGGAGGAGGAGAAGGACGACCAGGAGGCCTCCGAGATTTCGAGCAGGAGGTTGACCACGTAATTGTCTTACAGTGGCGGCCAGTCCACAAGAAACCCAACCCTGAGACCCCAGGACGTCCATTGATTTTCGGTGCGGGAGCGCCGCGCATTCCATAGCAAGACCATCGAAACTCAAGAAACCCAAGGCACCATGGAGGCAAGCTGGGTGTTTCTTGGCATGGGCCTCCACTGTACCCCGAGCTGCTGCGGAACAAATACGTGCGCTCTGGGAATCTCTGGCAACCTTCTAATTACGTCCTGTTCGCGGGTTCGACGGGGAACAATATTTTTGGGGAAATTAACTCTGCAGTCGTTCTCTTGCTCGAAGATTGGGAGGCGAAGAGACGACACACGCATAAATCTTCGAAGCTCCAAAATATTATGTTAGTGCAGGCGTTCCTTTTCGACAAATGGGGTCCAAGTAGATGGGGTCGGATGATCGCGCCGCATCGCCGATGCGTCCGTCGCCGCTGCATAGGCGATGCACTAGCGATGCATCGGCGGTGCAATCGGCGATGCAATCGGCGATGCCAGCGTTGGGAAGATCGGGCTCCACATCGAGCCGCATCGGCGATACATCGGCGATGCGGCGCGAGTCTCCGACGCCATCTCCTCCGACCCCATTTGGGAGGCCTAGAGTTGGGTCAAGCATGTCCTCCTACAGGCGGATTTTGGGCGAACATTGAAAGATAGCAACAATACGAACATAGTTAGAAGTAATAGGACAATCTTCCCCCCCAGACTGTTTTTGGACAATTTTGGAATCCTCCTCCTGCAGAGGGACATGCCCGACTTCAGCCTAGAGAGAGAGAGAGAGAGAGAGGCGGACCAGGCTTCCGGGAGAGGGACGCAGACCTCTAACTCCTCGAGCAAAAATCCTCCATCCTCGGCGCTCCCGAGCAAAAATCCTCCACCTCGAGCACAAATCCCCCATCCTCGAGCAAAAATTCTCCACCTCGAGCAAAACAAAAAAAACGACCGAGGCGCTCCCCCGTCCTCGCCCCCCTCCCCGGGGGCCCTCGCTGGGCTTGGGCCTCGGGGCCGTCAGAGATAAAGCGGCTCGGGGCGAAGCACGCCGGCCCTGGAGGAGCGGCCGCAACTGCCAGGGACCGCGCAGCGGGCGGAGAACCAGGGCATCGAAGGTCTGCTGAACGCCTGGGGTGGGGGAGGGGGCTGGCTCCGGGGGAGGAGCATGACCGCTGGAGTCGTGATACAGGCCTCGGAAGAAGTTCGCGAACACTCGTGCCACATCCATCCGTCAACGGCCCCCCCTCCCCCCAATGTTCAAAGTTGGCGGTGGGTCGGATGATATTGCACTTCGGCCGCAGTCTCCCCCGCGCGTGCCAACATTGACTTTTGGGGGGGAGGGGGAGTGTTCAGTAATTGTTTCCCTCTACCGTATAGCGAACAAAAACACACGCTCCTGGGCGGCCGGGGTCGATGCGTCCCCTGTCGCTGCCCCTGGGCGAAGGCGAGCGCCGAGAGGCGGACCGGGATTCTGTCCCGACAAAAAGGGGTCCTGCAAGGTTCAAATCGTGTCAGACCGTGCGGTGACCTCGAAACCCTACGAGACCTCTCCGCACAGTCCGTCACCGCACACATCTGGGGCCTCAGAGGCCCCGGTCGCCCGAGACATCCTCGGAGAACGACCCGAGTCCAAAAAGCGTGCGGCCACCCCGAATCCTCACTGACTCACCACACGGCGTGGTCGCCGCACCGTGCCAGGAGAGCCCAGACCAATCGCGAAGTCGGCACGTCGATCGTCGGCATGAACCGGATGGGCGGACATCGGCAGCCGAGTCGGCCCGCAAGGCCTCCACCAAGAGACCGAAGCCCCAACTCGGAATCAGAGGCCGCATCGACTCGGAACCAGACGCGATCCAGATCGAGTCGGATCGAGTCGGAGGCCTCGACCGGAGCCCTGGCGCGGGGCCGCCCCCCGGGCATCGCGCCCCGCGCCACACCCTGCCGCCCGTAGGGCCCCTCCGCGCGAGCTCGCCGGGGCGGCTGGCTCCTCCTGGCCTGGCGTGGCTCGCTCGCGGGGCGCGGCCGGATGCGAGCCGCTGGGCCGGGCCAGGCCCGCCATCGTTCGGACGTCCCCTCCCCATGCATTTTTTCCGGTTCGCGCGTTCACACCGACAGCGGCGCTGCCAGGCAGCGACCTTTCTGCCTCGAGTGCCTCACGTCCGGGGCGACGCCGCCAGCGAATCCTGTTCGAGATGGGTCAAAAGTGCTGTCGTTTTTTTTTTTTTTTTTTTTTTTTTTTTTTTTTTTTTTTTTTTTTTTTTTTTTTTTTTTTTTTTTTTTTTTTTTTTTTGTTTTTTGCTCTAACAAGGCGAAGCAGACGAGCACGCTGCCCTGCAGTGAACTGCGCGCGCTGTCACGCCGGCGGGCGGAGCGCGCGCGGACCCGATGGAGAGGTGGCATCACCAGGAAAACCTCTCTTTCACACTGTCTTGAATTCACATAAACAAAACCCCGTCACGCCAGCAGGCGAAGCGCCTGCCGTCACGCAAGGGAGTGTTGAACAGCCGAACGCGGGTTCGTGAAAGACGCGGGCACCAGCCTGTGACGGCCGAACTAGAGCCACCTGACCCCTCGGCCAAGTATAGCTCAAGTTACTCCACTCGCCCATCCATTGCTTTGAGGAGGAAAGGCCCCCTCTGGTCTTGGGGTGGAGCCAACAAAAACTTCGTTCTTGCCTCCACACGCGTGATAGACGGGCCGCGCCTACCCAAAATTTTCTACCCGAAAGGCATAGGGGCATTGAACGTGAAATGTTCGAGGACTCTCTCTGGCGACTCTAGCCTCACACCGCCACCGCGCTCAAGGAGCAGAGCGCAGCGGCGCCGAGCGCGGCCGGCGCGGCCGCGCTAACCGCGTAATCATCGGGCGCTGGGGCTGGGGTGGTTGTGTAGTAGTAGGAATAATAATAATAATAGTAGTTCGTGCCGGAGCCGACGTCGACACCCATCTCTTCCGCTGCGCCAGACAGGACGGGATCGTACAGGCAGGAGGTCTCGAAGCGCGGGAAGCGAAAAGTGATGGTGGTCTGGCTGCCCTGGGTACCGATGGAAGGGAACCCGACCGGCAGCTGCTCCCACGCGCAGTCTCTCTGCACCTGCGTCGACAGCTCGAGCGTCGCGTTGCTGCCCAAAGACACGGACTTCCCGCTGCCCTGGTTGGCGCTCCCACCCCCCAAATTCTGCACCGTGATGTCGAGCTCGACGAACGCGCCGACCTGCTCGGTCTGGCCCTTCTTGCAGTTGGAGCCGTCGCACCAGGTCCAGTCCCAGAGGCGGATATTCCACTTCAAGTCTCCGATGCTGACCTGCCACGACTCGTTGGACATCCCCACCGTTCCCGACTGGGCCATGACATAGGTGTCGACGCCGATTCGTCCGATCTCCGAGATGGTTGAGTCGAACGACACCTTGGCGGCAGAAACTCCAGAACCGATGCGGACGGTCTCCATATCGCCCACCGTGAAGTCCTGGCTTGCAAAAGTTTGGATCGAATGCTTCACAGCCCCAGACGTACCCACTGCTTCGCCATCTGCGTCCACCTCCCTCAGCGCGTCCATCGTCACGCGGATGCCCACGGAAGCCCCCGACGAGCCCTTAGGCACGAGAGTGAACTTGCCGCTCTGGCCCTGAACTTGGAGCTCCAAGGGGATGTCTGGCGCCGACTCTTCAGTCGTCGTTTCTTCGAAGAAAGGTTCTGTTGTCGTCGCATCGCACGATGGGAAGGCGGTAGCCTCCGCGAGGCCGAGGAGCAGGCAGGGCAAGAGGATCTTGGTGGTCATGGGGCTTGGATTCGCGATGTTGGCCGCGGGGCCGCGCGCCTGGCGGAGACAGCTCGAACTTGAGCCCTTGAGGATCTTGAGTCGAACAGGCTTGAGCCAAAATGGCTACGGACAAAAGTGCTGTCGGTCTTCGTACCCACTCTTTCCATACCCATTTCAATCGTGCTGATTCTACGTAGATGCCTCCCAGACGGCGTCGGATTAGCTGGGGTCGGAGGATCGCGCCGCATCATCAATGCATCACCGATGCACCCGCGATTCATCGGCGACGTTGGCGATGCTGCGGCGACGGCGGTGGAGAAAACCGAGCTCCGCGTCGAGTCGCATCGCGGATGCATCGGCGATGCGGCGCGATCCCCGGACCCCATCTGTTCTGACCCCATTTGGAAGTCCTAGAGGTTCTGTTGGCATAGATGGAACGAGTCCTGAGGGAAGCGGGCCCTGGATCCAGGTGGCTTTCCCGGGGACCAAGTTCTTCACCCCGAGCCGACTTCTGACGGTCCTGGGGCCCGTGGAGGGTCCCGGGAGGCCAAGAGACGGTGGCAAACCTCAGGACCCGTCGCCCCCAATGACCTTCCAGAGTGCCAATAGCCCTCCAGACCTATATAGACCTATCTGGGCTGCCTAAAGCCTCGACAGGAATTAAAGTATCGAGGTCCTGCTGCTATCTTTTAGCCCTCCCGGAAGTTCAGGGCCTCGGGACCCGATTCCTTCGTGGCGATCTAGCCTGGCCCCGCCTGGCAGCCCTCGAGACCCTAGGCCGTCGCCCTCCGCATCTCTCCTGGCCCCTCTCCGAGGACGACCACGACGGCGGACGACGATGCGACGACGCGACGACGACGACGACGACGACGACGACGACAGCGGACGACGACGACGGCGGACACGACGACGACGATAACAATGACGACGACGATGCTGTCGCTGTCGTCGTCGTCGGTTGGGCAGGGACCGATCGTCGCGGCATTCTTATAGGCCTACCACGACATGTTCTTAGAACCCAAACTGTCCCAACAACACAAACAACAATATACTCAGGACATCTCATGCAGCCAGTGATGTTCTAAGCACATTTCGTGCAGACCACAAACAGTTCATAGAGAATTCTTTGGTGGGCCTGCATAGAGGCCCCCTGGATGGGGTCGGACCAGATGCTGACGGAGGATCACGCCGCATCGCCGATGCGCCAGCGATGTATCGGCGCCTTGCCAGCGATGCATCTTCGACGTCCGCGCTGCATCGGCGATGTCGACGTGAAGCAAATCGGGCTCCACATCGAGCCGCGTCGGCGATGCATCGGCGATGCGGCGCGAGCCTCCGACCTCAGCTACTCCGACCCCACCCGGGAGGCCCAGACTATTGGCAGACTAAGACTTGGGACGCCCGAAATGGGCACGGAAAGAATGGGTACAATGCCCAACAACAAATGTTGACCCAAACCAGCAGCGGCCGCTGTTGGGCAGGCGGCCTTCTGTCTCAAATGGACACAGGCCGCGGCGGCGCGGACAGCGAGTCCTGTTCAAAATGAACAGGGGCTGCTGTTGGGCATCGTACCCATTCTTTCCGTACCCATTCCGTTCGTGCCGAAAGACGCTTTGCCGCTGCTCGAACCGGCGGCGGCGGCGGCTGCAGGCGGCGGCCTCCCGGCCAATGCCACGGCGTGGGCGCGCTTCCGGCCGCGGAGGGCACCGGGCGGACGGCGCCGCGCCGGTCGCGCGCCTGGCGGAGGAGGAGGAGGAGGAGGAGGCGGAGGAGGAGGAGCAGGAGGACGCGGAAGGGGAGGAGGAGGAGTCGAACAGGGAGAAGGAGGTGGGCGAGCAGGAGGAGATATGGAGGAGGAGGAGGAGGAGGAGGAGGAGGCGGAGACGGAGGAGGAGGAGGAGGAGGAGGAGGAGGAGGAGGAGGGGGAGGAGGGGGGAGGAGGAGGAGGAGGAGGAGGAGGAGGACCTGTGTAAAACCAAGAGTCAACAACGATGTTGGAATTAACCCTCCCTCCAAGCTCCCTCTTCGTAGGCGCCCACAGCGGTTCATTCCCATTGAGGGAACTGCCTCGTTGGAAAACATCCGTTTGAAAATCCTGAAGCATGCCAAAACATTGTCTTCGGGATTTCAACGCCACGTATCAACCTGAACTGCTGCGTCTTGACGATCCGGAAGTGTGCCGTAGCGCCAATTTTGGGACTTCAACACCGCGAACCAACATAACTGTTGCACCCGTATAATCCCGAATCCTTCTAAAACAATTTTTTTGGTAGGTGTATCATGGGAATATGTGAAACCCGTACACATAAAAAAACACGGATGTGCGCGGCGCTAAGGCGAGAACCGCATTTTGAAAACGACTCGCCCTCAATCCGTGAACCTTTGCAAATTTTAAAGGCGGATGTGCGCGGCACTAATGCGATAACCACATTTTGAAAAGGAGCCGCCCTCAATCCGTGAAGCTCTTGCAACTTTTAAAGCGAATGTGCGCGGCGCTAAAGCGATACAAATATTTTGAAAAGGAACCGCCCTCAATCCGTGAAGCTCTCGCAATCTTTAAAACGTATGTGCGCGGCGCTAACGCGAGAGCCACATCTTGAAAACGACCTGCCCTCAGTCTGTGAAACCCTTGTAATTGTTTTAAAACGAATGTGCGCGGCGTTACAGCGAGAGCCACATTTTCAAAACGACCCGTCCTCCATTTGTGAAGCTGTTGCCACTGTCAAGCTTCATAATCATAACTGGTGAGGAAGTCTCAGGCGGAACGCCTGGCCCGCCCTAAAAACTGACCTCGGGGTGCGACAGGGAGGAGTTAGCTAGAAGGAGAAGGAATGGAGGAGGAAGAAGAAAAGGAAAAAGAGGAGGAGGACAGCATTACGATGATGATGCTGATGCTACTGATGATGGTGACTGTGATGATGAGGTGATGATGGGGACGATGATAACGAGGAGGAGGCACGTCAGTCCCAGCAGGGGAGGAGGCGGGCCAGCAGCAGGGGCAGCGAGGAGCGGGAAGGGACCTACCCCTGGAGGTTGGTACTCGTGTAGAGCCCCTTTTCACATCTGCACTAAGCCTGGACATGGCACGGGCCCGTGCTCTCATAAGTCCCTTAGCGACTTCGGACCCACGGAGGCCTTTGCCTCTCACTCTCTGCTGAATGCTAAGCAACATATCGATGGCAACCACCGTGTAGCGCAACTCACTATTAGCAGACATCGGAATGCATCCTGTAATCACCTGCTCGAACCGCCACTCCAGCCAGGATTCAAGAGGGCGAGGGGGGATCTTAGTATGGGCGCGATCACCAGGCACACTACGTAATGGTCCAGAACACCTCCGCCCATATTTTGACACCGCCACATACACCCAAACGTCACTCTACAATACGTCCTGCTCGTATTCTACCCGTTACATACGGTCATCATAATGTTGTGCGCCTATATGCATGGAAGCCTGCTGGCGACTAGCTGCAGGCGGAGGAACGTGAGCTGCGCCATGCTCAAGGACAGCTGTGGTACCCAGTGCCTCAGCCTAGGGAATAGCAGGTGCACAGGGCTCATGTCAGACGACGCGTGCAAGACACGATGCACACTCCCTTGGAATCCAGCGGACTAGGGATCCGTCGGCAGACCAGGAACATACTCGAGAGACCTCGTCGCCCTCTGGAGGTGCATGGATATGGAATTCACAAACAGCGGGTTCCACTCGCGGGTAGACGAAGCTTTCCCGCACACCACCAAGCCATCTTGAACCTCCAGGAACTCGCGGGAACCAGCGATCTTCTGAGATGCGCGGAAAGTGGCAGCTTTGGCCGTCAATTCCAGAGACATAAGCAACATCACAACTGTACCCAGAGCTTCGGTTCGAAGACTGCACATCGTAGCACAGATAGCGGCTTGTTGGTCACCGCCGCCAGCTGCGCTCGATTCTTAAAAAGGCCCCCGTTGGGCGGATGCATCTGACCCGCGAAACCCAGCGCAGATAAGCGGTGCCATTTGTGGCCTAAGACGTACAAGGGTTCTGCTGGGGCCCTTTCACCCCCGAAGTGCGAGCCCGAAAGGATCTGCCAGGGGCCGCCCAGGAGGCGACGCGCCCATCCGCCCCCGCTTCGATGCTCAGATACTGCCCAGAAAGTCTGAACCTGGACGCAACTTATGTTCACGCCCTGGTCTCTGAACCTCTTCTTGACCTCCGAGAGTTCGAAACCGCCAGGGATAATGATAGCTATAATAATACCACTAATAATACGAATAATGAAATCAATAGTAATAATAATAATAATAATACAAATAATAATAATGATGATAATAATACTAATAATAATAGTAATAATAATTAAATAATAATACTAATACTAATAATAATAATAATAGTAATAATAATAAGAATACTAATACTAATACTAGTAATAATAATAATGATACTAATAATAATAATATTAATAATGATGATACGAATTGGCGTACCAGTCGCTTCCGCACTCTGGACTAGCAGCTTCGCCATGCGCGGGGTGTCGGGAAACGCGTCGGCGCAGACAGAGGCGAGATCGTCCGCGAATCCGATCAGGTCAGCCTTCGGATGCACGACCTGGGCTATGAAAAACCCCAGGATTAAGTCGAAGCGCGCCGCGGGGAAGATTCCTGAGAGATGGCGGATGCGCGTCGCCGGTTCTGAATGCACCGTCGTCGCCCTTCCTGCGAATCGTTCGGCCGGCTCCATCCTGTCAGAACGCGCGGCGTTCAGGCGTGCGGCGCGCTCGGGAAAGCTTGCTTCAATTCAAAATTTGCGCGCCCGCGTCTTGCGGGTATTCCACCGCGCCCCGCGGCGTCATTGTAGTATCCACAGAGATAATGTGGCGCGGCGCCTGACGGCTAGGGGCGAAGCCCATGGGCCCGGTCGATCGCGGCCGGACCACAATCGACAAGGGGGGCGGGCCATCGCGGCAGCGATTCTCATATTGCGCGTGTCCATGAGGGTGGGAGCTCGGGCATTTCCAGGAGATCCGGCATCTTCAGGGCGATGCGGGCCAGGGCCGCCTGCGGGGAGGGGGCGGGGGGGGGGGCGCGCTGAGGCCCGCGTTGAAGTCCTCTGGAAGCTCTTCGCCGTTCGCGAGATGTCTGTAAAGCTAGAAAAAATGCCGATGGCCACCTCGCCCGCCTTCTGGCGCGCGCTCCTAGGGGGCCCCGTCGGGGCCTGAGTTGGAGTCTCGAAGCCCAATCATCAGATCGGCGAAGATGGGCCTCGACAAGAACCGCTGGGTTCCCTCGGGCGCTTTCTGGATAAACGGGCCATGCTGCTCGAAA